GAGGCCGGGCGAGAACGACCCGCCCAGCCTCGGCGCCTCGGCTCCGCCGGGAGCAGGGCAGACCACGCCTCCCCTTCTGGCCCGCCCGTCCGGCCGTGGCGCCTGCCGTGGCGCTTCCTGGGACTGGATGGGACCGGGCCGCGCCCTCCCGCTACGGACTGGCCCCTCCGTGGCGCCTTTGCTCTTCCTGGAACTGGCACGAGAACGGGCGACGCCCTCCCCCTTCTGACGAGCGCAGCGGGCCTTGGCACCCCTTCGCTCTCCCGGGACTGGATGGGAAGGGCCGTGCCCTCCCGCTTCTGACTAGCGCCTGGAGCCTTGGCACCTTGGCTCTTCCTGGAACTGGGACGAGAACGGGCGACGCCCTCCCCCTTCTGTCTAGCCCACTGCGCCCTGGCACCCAGAGGGGCCCTGCCCAGATGCGCCACGGCTCTCCTATGTGCCCAGTCGGCCGCCAGGTCCCACCCCAGCAGCGGCTCCGCAGACTTCCTCCGGTGACCGGACACAGACTCTCCAGGGACTTCTAACGCCTTCTCTCCTCCCCTCCCCTCCTTCCCTGGAGAGAAACTGAGGACACCGGCCTGAGACAAAGCTTGTCTCTGGGGTTGGTTCCCGGAGGCAGAGGCTGGAGGTGGCGGAGGCAGCCCCACGTGCCTCCCATTCTGTGACACCACATCAAGGGCGGACTGCACCACAGGCGATGACCCTCCTAGGCCGCCACCGGGTGCTCCACACCCACCCCCAAGGACCTTCCTGGGAACGCATCCGGCGGGTTGCCAGCCACTGCTGGCTTGGAAGTCCCCAGGGTCTTGCCCCAGTTCCTCCTGGCTGTCACCTCTGCCTCACTCCCCCACAGGGCCGTTGTCCCCCTGGGCCAAGACTGAGGTCAATAAAACCAGCTTCCCACTCAGACCCGGTCCGCACCTCTAGGGCAGGTCACGAGGAGACACTGGGGCTTCCTGTCCACTGACGGTCTTCCAAGAGGCAGGACTCAGGCACTGGGCGGGTTCCTGGGGCAAGGGAGCTTCCTGCTGACGGGACTTCAGCACTTTCAGCTCCACAGTCACTGTGATGGGTGGCTGGACTTATCCCCGGGGACACTGGGGATGGAGCGGGACAGAGGCTGTCACCCGAGGCACTCTCCTCCCCCTGCGGCAGGACGTCCCCCCCAGACATCCCCAGCCAGGGCCTCTGCTAGACTGCGGCCTGGCTGCATGATCAGTGAACCGCCCAGGTGACTCTCCCCAATGCGTTCACCAGGAGCACAGGGCTTGCTGCGTGGGGGCTTCCATCTTCTGGTTCAGAAAGCAGTGCAAGTCCTTGGGGAGGGACCAACCACGAGAACAGACCACACCCAGCCCCACCCCCCCCAGACCCTGGCAGCCCGCAGAGTCAGCTCTTCTGGGCCAGATCAGGTGTTAGGCCTCACCCTTCCTCTCCCAGAGGAGAAAGCAGAGGGCTGTCCCAAGCAGATCATGGAAGCCAGGACCCTGGCGCTGACCAGGGAGCGGAAGGCTCCCGAATTCCAAGTGGAGGCAGTGGCCGGTGGCCCAGCCTCACCCACACACCCGAGAGGCAGCTCCTCTGACCAGGGAACACCCCCCCAAGCCTCCTGGAGCCCCGGCCTCACCCACACACCCAGGAGACTCCTCCTCTGACCGGGGGACGCCTCCGTCAGGCCTCCTAGGACTGCCTTTCTTGCTCTGTCAGCAAAGGCCCTCTCTTCCCGCCTCTACTCACTTGGGCCTCCTGAGCCCTCCTTCCCAGATCCAGCTGCACAGGGTATACTAAGCCAGCTCCCGCTGGGCCGCAGGCTGGCGAGGCCATGAGACAGTCACCCAGTGCCATGGGGTTGAGCGAAGCCGCTCTCGGCATGACATGAGGACTCTGGGCCGTCCTCAACACACCAGGCCACCAGCAAGTGCTTGCCTGGTCACTGTTTTATGTCCCCACGTGAGTGTGACTGGCGCCAGGCTCATTCTCGCTCCATGAGAGTCTGCCTTGGGTCTGTACTGCTTTCTCCCTCCCCGCATTCTCCACATGTTCGTTGGGTCATTCGACACACCCCAGAGTGAGGCCATGGCAACCTGCCAATGACATCTCAGTGGGGTTTAGGTTCCCCCTTCCAACTAAAGAACTGCTGCTGGGAAGTCCTGCCAGGTCGCCCAGTCACACCTTCTGCTTCGCAGGTTTGACCTGATGCTGAGAAAGACTGGCTTGCTCCCCAGCCAGGAAGCTCCGGAGGGATAAGCACTGGCATTCGGTCCCTCCGCTCCCTTCCCTCCCTGGTGGGCTCTCCGGGAGCCCGACAAGGACACGGGTTGGGGTGGGTGAAACACTGCCTCCCTCCTGCCCCGGGCTGCAAGCCTCGGCACAGCCCGGCTTTTCTTTTCTTAAAAGAATCCCAGCCTCGACTGGCCCTAGCAGCAGGCCAGGGCAGGGACAGGGACGGGGGTGTCCTGGGCGCTGGTGGCGCGGGTGGCCGGGCCGGGGCAGGCTGGGGCACTCGCCTATTGTGGGTCTGGATTGGACGCTTCCCTCATTCATTTCCTTTTAATTAACCCGCATTCCTGGAGGAGAAATATTTATGTTGGCTCCATAGAGGCAGGCCTCGGACTGGAAAGAGGGGAAGAAAGCCTGTCTTAGCAAAACAATATCTCTAAAGAGCCCCAAGAGAAAATAGGGAACAAAATGCCATTAAAATCGCCTGCTCCCCCCGCCGGGTCCGTGAAAACTTCATTTCTCATGCTAATCCTCGGCCGCCCTGCCGGCCCACGCCGCCCTTCCGAGTGTTTGGGAACGTCTGGCGGGCCGCAGCGCCCCGCCGGCAGGCTCCTCCTGTGTTAGTTCAGGGGCTCTCGCCCCGCCCGGCTTTCTCTCCCCCCCTTTAATTTAAACAAAGGCTTCGGAGTTCATCAACCTCCCACTGAAATTCACAGCTGCTGAACAAACTAATCCCGTCTCCCGGCCTTTCTTCCCTTCAATGGGCTCTTGGCTTCAAAGACACTTTGGGAAAGGACTTTGCCGGGGCTCACACTGCTGCATCAATAGAAGTTAGTGCCAGCATTGTCTGAAGAGCAAGTGGCTTTACAAACAAACACTGCCCGACAATCCCTCCCCCACACCCCGGCGGACACACGGGCCACCGCGGGATTAGGGCTGGGCGGCTTCACACCCGGCCCCTTTGTGCAGCCGGGCTCGCCCTGACGTGGTGTGGGGGAACCCAGGCTGACGGCCGGCGCAGACGGAGACACACGCATGCACACAGCGGAGAGGCCCCAGGGGCTGCCGGAGAGGACGGTGCGGCCTGGTCGGTGGGAGTGCACCCCTGCTTGGCTTCTCTTGACTCCCTGTCTCTCCCCAGGCCTCTCCCCTGCCTACCTAGGGCACAGAAGTGAGAACGCAGAGGCCTGGGAAGATGGGCCGCAGCCGGGTAGCCCCGGGGGACGATGGCCAGAGAGGGGGAGACGGCTGGGGAAACCGAGTCAAGCGGCTTTATTGCACGTCGGTACCTCAGTGTGTCGCTCGTGGCATGCCCGGTGAAAGCGCAGGCCGAGGAGGCAGCCCTGAGATAGGGGGCTGGGGGGGAGGGCCGGCCCTGCAGACGGTGCTGGCGGGAGCCTTGTCAGCACGACTTCCAGTCCAGAACTGGGCTCAGCAGCACGGAACAGTCTAGGCCTCGGGCTGTCCCCACAGGCTGTGGTCTTCTACTCCGGCCCCAGCCTAGGACAGCTTCCAGGCAGAGGCTGTCACCCCTCTCCTCTCCCACCCGGCCCAGCCCCCCTTAGGCATGCTGCAGACGGGCCGCTCTCCCTGAAAGGGGCCAAAGTCTCCTCTCGGCTCTGCCAGGCACCCAGCCCTCGTGTCCACAGCTTGTCCAGAGGGTGAGCGGCCGTCAGCTCCACCCACCAGAGAACTGTGGAGTCGGGGCAGGGGCAGGGTACAGCCAGGCTCATAAACCACAGCCGGGAAAGCCCAAGACCCGCCCGATGGCCGCAGCAGAGGTCGACGTGGAGGAACCGACCCTGTTCACCTCCTCGAAGCCCCTAGATGGACCAGCCCTGCAGGAGCGGCCATCCCGGCTGGGGCCAGCAGGGCACGGCTGGGCGAGTGAAGAACCGACTCTGCGCCCTGCCACTGGGCAGAGCGGGTCTCGGGCGGGTCCTGGAAGGCTGAGGCTCCCGGGGCCCACAGCAGGCACTCCGTGGATGTGCACCACACCGATGGCACACACTGGCAGCGAGGGAAGAGGGCCGGGAACAGCGGTGAGACCGGTTCCGAGAGTCCCTCCTGTCGGGGCCCTCCGGCGAGAGAGGCTGGGTCAGACCCGCGGCGTCTGGGCGACGGTGAGGACGGCCTTCAGGACAGGCACAAAGCCGGACACCTCGCTGAAGCTGCTGCAGCCCGCCAGCTGGGTGTGCGCGGCCAGGCCCTGCTCCCAGCGACCTGCGTCCACCCAGCGGGCCACCTCATGGAGCCCGGCCAGCACGTGGGGTGAGAGCTGTGGAGGTCGGCCTGAGGTCAGGATGCCCAGTCCCCACCCGGAGCCCAGGCCAGGCAAGATGTGTGCTTTGCGGGGCGCTTGGTCGGTCAGACCCCGGGCAGAGCGGCGCGGGGCTTCCCCGGCCCGGTGCCGGGAGGGGTGGGTGGCGGGCGGGCTGCGGGGTGGACTCACCGCCCCGGCGCAGAGCTGCTCATACAGGTGCTCCAGGCGCCGGGCTGGCTCCTTCAGCCTCCTCTTGGTCTTCTGCGAGACAGATGTGTCTGAGCCCAGCCCCTGGCACAAGACCGCTGGGGCCGTTGGAGCCAAGGGCGCACTCCACCACGGGGAGCCGAGGCCGAGGGCAGGGACCTGCTTGCGCGGCACGGCAGCAAATGGTGGCCTCCTCACCCCCGCGCCACCCCTCGCCTGGAGGCAGTGGGTCCTGCTCCCAAGGAGCTGGGCAGCAGACCAGACTCCAGTCCCTCCCCTGCCCGCGTGGACAATCACGAGCTCCAGACACAGGCGCCCGTCCAGGGTCGGGGCGGAGCGGGGCCCGCGGGGCCCGGGCCGCGGCGGGAGAGGATGTGTGGACTCACTAGGTCGGCTGCGGCCAGGGAGCAGGGTCGGAGAAGCGCCTCGAAGCTGGTCTTCAGGGCCTGGTGCTCTGGGGGCAGCTCACTCCTCCCCAGCTTCTCAGGGGGCCGGTGCTGACGCTGCCATGGACATGAAGGGATGGGACAGACAGGCACACTGTCCTCCTCACCGCTTCCCGAGGACCAGTCCTCAGGACTCTGGGGTACACGGTCCCTAGCAGAGCAGAGCAGGGACGGGGCGCCTTCCCCTTCCCCAGGACACCGGATATCCGTTCCTGTGGCGTCAGCTTAGCGACCGCCTCGACTGGAGGAATGGGGCCCAAGGAGGGCTGGGAGGTTCTGGGGAGGGGGCACGCTGTCCCTGTCACCTGCAGGCTGAGTTCTCCTGGAGCTCCCGGGGCAGCAGGACTCACACCGGAACAGGCGGCCGCAAGGGCAGGCGCCCGGGAGGCTCGGGGGCGAGGCTCGCGACCGGCGCAGTGATGGGTGCTGGAGGCACGCAGGGCTCCTGCGGCTACAGGGGAGGAAGGGCACGCATCTAACCGGGGGACGCCACAGGCCCCGGTTCTGGGCAGTGAGCAGGAGACGGAGGCGGGAAGACGCGTGTGCGAGAGGGAGGGGGCGCTGAGGAGGGGACGAGGGAGGAGCCGGGGCGGCCTGAGCGTGGAGGACTTGGACCCACGAGGACCAGGAAGTGGGTCACGGGGGATGAGGGAGGCATCGACCTGGCTCCTCCGGGAGCGTCCGCAGGGGGCTGGAGCACCTTTCCAGGAGTCCGGAGGTCCTGTAGGGACAAAGACAGAGGCCCCAGGGGCATGGCAAAGATCACTCCATGTGCCTGGTCTGAAGGCTGGGACAGTTTTTCCGTGGGAGGCCGCCACACCGCCCTCTGCAGACCACCCCAAGGGGCCCCATTGGTTGGCTTGAGGAGGAAGACCCCTCAGGCAGGGGTGGAGAGGAAGGAAGAACCCAGGCGAGGGGTCTAGGGAAGGCAGACGGACCTGGATGAGGAGTCACGATGCCAGCAGCTGGGAGGGTACCAGAGCATGGGGCACCCAGCCCTCTGGGACGGGGTGCCACAGGGAAGCTGGCAGGAGGGCCGAGAGGCTGGGAGAGCATGGTGCCGGGAGCTGGCGGTCCCATAGGAGGCAGCGGGAGCAGGCCAGGAGTCTCACGCGCGGAGGCAGAGCCAGGCCACGTGACATCGGGGGGGGTGCCATGGGTGGAGGGGGACCAGGAAGAGGCCGCATTCCAGGAACCCCCATGGGGTAAGGAGCTGGAGCCCTGGGTCCTCCCACCAGCTGCGGCTGAGAAAAAGCTGATACAGAACAGAAGCAAGCTTCAAGTCGGGGTCTCAGAGTCCACCAGGGACGGGACAGCAATAAAAAAATCTAATCCTGATCAAACAAATGAGGAACACATACGTACAGGCTCTGCCGTCTGCAGAGGGCTTTTAGCCGTACTCCTCATTTGACCCTCCAACGGTCTCTTGGGTGGAAATGACCACTGACTGCCCAACACACAGAGCCCTAAGTGATCGCGTTAGGAATCCAGACTTCCCCTTCCGGCTCCTCGTCCTGGACAGACACCCAGTCTCCCAACCCAGACAGACCTTCACTCATTCACCAGGCCTCGCCCGGGGGCCCAGAGGCAAAGGCCGGGCCGCCTGGGGCCCAGGGGCTCCGTGGTCACTCATATTCTGCCTCCTTGAGTCCTGGTAAGGGCCAGGATGGGGAGGCGTCAGGGGCATCCCAGGTGATGACTGAGGTGTGAAAACCCTTGGCCTTGGGGGTGGAGTTGAGACCTGTGAGGAGAGAAAAGGGTCAGTTCTTGGAATGGAGCGAGTCATTGAAAACCAAAACACAGGGAAAAATCAGTGAAGAAAACGAGATCCTTGGGGAAAATAATCAATAAAATTGATAGGCCTCTGTGAAAAGATGAAAACAAGAGAAGACAAAAGGCTTCAATATCACAGACGAAACGGGATGCTCCAATGACCCCGAAGCCACGAAAAGGATCAAGAACCCTAAAATCACCTTCCACGAACACGTTGGACAACTTGGCAGAAACGGACCAGTTCCTTGAGAACCCTACACCTCTGAGAGTCAGCCACGATGAAAGACAGCCTGTGTAGCCCGGTCAGTGATATGCGTTGAATTTACAATTTAAAAGCTCCCAAAAAAGGAATCTCACACACTAGAAACCCAAGCCGCACCTGCACACAATTTACTTTTGTGGCAAAACCTCCCATGGAACCCACAACTTAAAATTTAAAAAAAAAAAAAGGAATCTCCAGGCCCAGAGGGTCTCATGGAGAATTCATCAGTTAACGAATTCACACACAGTTTACATAATCTTCTCCAGAAAAACAGAAGGAACACTTCCCAACTCCGTTTACGAGGCCAGTTTTACCCTGATACCAACAGCAGGGAAGGATAAGCACAAAATAAAACTACACATTTCTCATGAACTGAGACACAAAAATCCTCAACAAAATTTTGGCAAAGCAAATCTAACAATGTATATAAAAAAATTCTACATCTAGGTAGGAGGAATTATTCCAGGTCTTGAGAGGCTGGTCCGATATGCTTTAAAAAAAAAATCAATCAGTGTAATCCACTGTATCAAACTGAGGGACCATAGACCAGAGAAAACTGCAGAAAAGAGGACTCGGCAAAATGCACCACCCATTTGTGAGCCAGCCCCAAGGTGCAGGTCTGAATGTGCTCCCCCAAATCCACAGTGCGGGGAGGCGGGGACCTTGGAAGCGCGCAGGTCCTGAGGACTCGGCCGCCATAGAAAGGGCTGGCGGGGCAGGTGGGTTTCCTCTTCCCCCACGCAAGGACAGGGCGGTCCTCCCCTCCCGGGGACTCGGCAGTAAGGCGCCATTTGGGACCAGAGACCAAACCTGCTAGTGCCTTGACCTTGGACTCCAGAACTGTGAGAAATACCCTTCTTTTCTTTAGAGGTGACCAAGTCTGTGGTATTCTGTTACAGCGGCACAAAGTAGACTAAGACACACAGAATAGAGGGAGACTTCCTCAGTCTCATAGCAAGCATCTGCAAAAAGCCCACACTTCACGGTGAAAGGCTGCTGCTTTCGCTCTAAGACCGGAAACAAGGCAAGGACGTTCTTGCCCGCCATTCTTGCCTAGCAGCCCTGGAAGTCCTGGTGACTGAGGGGGTGACAGAAAGAGATCAGAGGCACACAGATCAGACAGGAAGAAAGAAAACTGTCTCTACTTGCAGACAACGCGACTGTCTGCGTAAGACCTCAAGGGAATCCACAAAAACCTCCTAGAACTACTTAGTGAGTTCAGGAAAGTCACAGGCTACAGAATCAACACATCAACATCAATTACCTTTCTGCAAAGTGACAGCAAACAAGTGGAAACCAAAATTTAACGTGCAGTGTCATTTGATTTCAGATTGCTCAAGGGGAAATTAAATACTTAGGCATGAATTGGACAAAACATGAACGGCGTTGGTATGAGGGGAATTATAAAATGCTGATGGTGAGAGCACTGGAGAGCCATACCGTGTTCATGGATTGGAAGCTTCCGCATAGTGAAGATGTCGATTCTCCCTAAATTAATCTACAGCTTTAAGGCAATTCCTATAAAAATCTCAATGAGTTTCTTTGTAGACAGACACAAACTTATTCTAAAATTTATGGGGAAAGGGAAAGGACTCACAATATTCAAAACAATTTTTATTTTATTTTTTTGAGTTGGAGTCTCATTCCGTCGCCCAGGCTGGAGCGCAATAGCACGCTCACAGCCACCCCAATGTCAACCTGCTGGGCTCCGGCGATCCTTCCGCCTCAGCCTTCCAAGTAGACAGAACTACAGGTGCACGCTATCACACCCAGCTAATTTATTTGATTTTATTGTAGAGACGAGGTCTCACCAAGCTGCCCAGGCTGATCTCGAACCCACAAGCTCAGGCAATCCACTCGCCTTGGCCTTCCAATGTGCTAGGATTACAGGCTGAGCCATCGAGCCTGGCCTCAAAACAATTTTCATTTTTGTATTTTTGTATTTTTTTTTTTGAGTTGCAGTCTCACTCTGTCAGCCAGAGTGGAGTGCAGTGGCTGCTCCCGGCCACCGCAGCCTCAACCTACTGGGCTCCGACGATCCTTCCACCTCAGCCTTCCGAGTAGCCGGAATTACAGGCGCGCGCTACCATGCCCAGCTAATTTTTGATTTATTGTAGAGATGAGGTCTCGCTGCCCAGACAGGTCTCGAACCTGTGGGCTCAGGCAATCCACTCACCTCAGCCTCCCAAAGGTGCGGGATTACAGGCTGAGCCACCGAGCCCGGCTAATTTTTTAAAAGAAAAACAAAGTGGGAAGAATTACTCTCCCCCATGTCAAGACTTACTATATAGCAGTAGTGATCCCGACAGAGTGGTGCCTGCAAGGAGATAAACACATAGATCAGTAGAACAGAACGGAGAACTGGGAAACAGAGCTCTGCGATATGCCCAGTTAGTGCTCAACAAAGGAGTGAAAGAACGTCTTGGAAGATGGAGAGACTTTCCAATAAAGGGTGCTGGCACAACTGGAGACCCATCGGCACAGTTAATTCAACATTTCCTGCTCACACAAAAATTAACTAAAAAAAAAAAGACATGGACTTAAATTTAAACATAAAACGTAGAACTTCTAGGAAGGACGCAGGAGAAAACTCGAGGACTTAGGACTAGACAAAGAGTTCCTAGACTTGCCACAAAAAGCATAACCCATAGGTAGAAACATTTATCAATTGAACCCCATAAAAGGAAAGACTTTTGCTCCGTGAAAGACCCTGTTAAAAAGATGAAAAGACAAATTACAGACTGGAACAAAATACCTGCCAATCACATATCCAGCAAAGGCCTTGGATCTAGACTATATAAAAAACTCAACATTTAAAAAGCCAAACAACCCACTTAGAAATTAAACCACTGAAGCAGACACACAGATGGCAAGTACATGAAAAGATGTTCAACAAAATTAGCCATTAGAAAAATGCAAATCGAAATCAAAATGAGCCAGGCATGGTGGCTCACACCAGTCATCCCAGAACTTTGGGAAGCCAAAGCAAGAGGACTGCTTGAGCCCAGGGGTTCAAGAGCAGCCTGGGCAACATGGCGAGACCTCATCTCTGCAAAAAATAAAAAAAAGTTAGCCAGGTGGTGTGGCGTGTTCTTTAGTTCCAGCTGCTTGGGAGGTTGAGGAGGGAGGATCACTTGAGCCCAGGAGTTTGAGGCTGTGGTGAGCCGTGATTGTGCCACTGCATTCCAGACTGGACAACACAGTAAGACTCAGTCTCAAAAAATAAAGGTAAAAATGGACTTGCCACACAAGTCAGCAATTGTCTTCTCAGATTCTTAGGCACTTATTCCAGAAAAACGAAGACTTTTTTTTTTCACTTAGGAACTTGGGCTCAAAGGCTCCTAAGTCAAACCTGGAAACGCCCCAAATGTCCTTCAAAGGATCAGCGGCTGGGAAAACTGGAATGTCCGCACCGTGGGATGCTCTTCGCGGTCCGGATGAGGGGACGGCTGGTACACGCGACTGGTCCATGGAACCTCAAAGAAGTTCCGCCGGAAACAGTCAGTCTCAAAGGGACACATCCTGCCTGGTTCCATGGGTGGAACCATCGTGAAGTAACATTCTCGAGCTGGGGAACATGGCGGGGACGGGGATGCCAGGGCTGAGGGATATGGGGTGGCCCTGGCCAGAGGGGGAGCCACGAGGGTCTTGTGGTGACCGGACAACTGAGCCTCGATTGTGGGGGTGGTTACGTGCCACAATGCGGCAGAACCACACAGTTACGTACACGCACGTGCACACGCACACACGCACACACACACACACACAGACACGTAAGACGGGCGAGATCTGAATCTGAAATCTGATGAGGGACCGAATCAGCGTCAGTTTCTGGGTCTCCACGGTGCACTGTGTGTGGGGGCAGGCGGGCGCAGAGCAAGACAGGGAAGGGACTGGGACTTCCTGGTGCGTTTCTTTGCCACCTCCTGTGAATCGACAATTATTTCAAAATGAAAGCGGGGGGCAAGCGAGGAGAGACGAAAGTCAGAAACCTTCATCCGTTGTGCTCGCCGATACACCCCAAGCGCCGAGAACCATGCCTGGCGCGTAAGTGTGAATGGATGAATGCGAGAGAGTGAACAAATGCAGTGACAAGCAAGGCCTTACCTGGTGAGAGGGCTGGGCCCCGGGTCTGCAAGGTGACGTCTCTTTAGAGGGGGGCGTGGCCCCCCCAGCAGCCCAGGGAGAGGGGAGCGGGGGAGGCTGCCAGCTCCGGACGGCAGAGCCCTGGGCGTGGAGAAGCCGCTCCCTCCGCTGTTGGAGCACAATAGAGAAGAGCCGATTTCGGCCGAGGGAACAGACATCCTCCTTCCAAGCCTGGCTCCACGCACACCCCCCTGCCTCTGATCAGTCAGTGCCCAGGCCCTGTCACAAGTGCGCCCCTGCTCCCTGCCATCCCTGCGTCTGTCGGCAAGCTTCTCCTCGAAGGTCCAACTCGGTCATTTCAGCCCCCGGGGAGCCTTCCTCGACTTCTCCAGGCCCCTCCCTGGAACCCCTCGTGCTCCGTGTGGGCTTCGGTTGACACGCTGCCAGTGGCTGGCACCCGCCCCTCCCCCAGGGATGACACGGTCGGTCCCTCCGCACCGCCCCACTCACCTGAGCGCAGTTGCGGGGCAGAAAGCTCAGGGCAGCAGCCAGGCTGCCCTGGGAAGCCGGGAGGCTGGCGTACTGAGTGACCTTGGAGGTTGTGGCAGGGCCTGGGCTCGCCCCATCGGGACCCCACAGAAGCTCCAAGCTCCTGGAAAGGACCATCGCCTTCTCCATCAGGTCCTAGGGATGACGGTGAGGGGGACGCCCTCGTTCAAGCACCCCCCGCTAAAGCCAGGAGCTCACCGGGGTTCCTACCGTGGGCAGAGAGGAGGCCACCTGGCCACACCCTGGTAAAGCAGCCAGCGATGACACAGAAGAGGGGACAGGAGGGCCACTCCCCTCCGAGCTGTTAGGACTGGACCCAGCTGGGCATATGCCCAGAGTCCTTCGGAGAAGGGGATACCTGCAGGGCCTGGGGGCATGGAGCCGGCCGGCCCTTGGCCCAGCACTCCACCAGCCGCTCCACGCTCCCTGAGCACACGTAGCAGAGGCTGGCTTCAGGGGTCAGCGCCCGCCGCCCTCCTGCTCCATGAGGGCTCCCAGCATGTCTGTAGAGAGACGGGCATGGCATCCATGGCACGGCCGCCTGTGTGCCACTTCCTCGTGTCTGGAGAAGGTGGAGGCCTGTGAGTGGTGGGACAAGGAACTGCGGTGGCCTCAAGGCAGCACTGCGGCTCCCCCTGCCCTACACGGAAGGGCAGAGTTCTCACACCGAGATGCGGCAAAAACAGGACGACATGTGACCGCCTCCCAAGTGCTCCGTGGCCCTTGCCTCCTGGCTGAGCCAGACCCGGCCCGAACGGACAGCCCGGCCTCCTGAGCTCAGGCTGTCCCTCCGCCTCCCCTGCCTCCACGCAGTCACATGGCCACGCAGGAAGCGGCCGCGCCTACCGCAGAGCTTGGGGAACCGCTCTGGGCCCACGTGCATCAGCAGCAGGGCCAGCACCTCCCTCCAGTTCTTCAGGCTGCAGGAACACACCAGGTCCTTCCAGTTCTTCTGCACCACACAGGCCAAACGCTGCCGGGGCAGAGCGGGCAGGCGGCCATGAGCCACCCCCAGCACGGGCAGCAGGAGGCACACACAACTTCCTGCCAGGCACCGCGTGGGGCTAGCAGAGAAGCCGGGTGGTTGGAGGAGAGAGAGAGAGACAGGTGGATGGCCCGAACTCCAGCCGAGGATTGGGCCTCCCCCTGCAGGGTCCAGCCGCCCCCCTCCCTGCCCGCACGTGTCACCGGGGAGACTCTGGTGGCCTTCCTGGCCAGGTAGCGCTCCTGTGCGAGCTTCAGCAGGTCGGCGCCCCCCGCCTGGGCCAGGACGAGCGCATCGGCAAGGCGCCCTTCCTTCCGACACAGCTCCACGGCGGGGCCCAGCTCCCCCAGCAGGAGGGCCTGGCTCAGGAGTCCGTCAGCGTCTGCAGGCAGAAGCGTCCCCTTGGCGTCAGCCGCCCCGCTTTCCATCCCCGCAGGGCCCAGGCACACCCTCTATCTCCAAGTCACCCCACCTCTCTTGCTCCAAACAGAACCCTCTGGTGTCATTCCTTGGCAGTAAAACGCAGCAGGGTGTCCCCGGGGCCACTCTCCAAAGACAGAGCCCAAGACAAGGGAGGGGACTCAATGGCAGTCCCACAGGCTTCATCAGCCCGGGGTCACAGTCCTTCCAGCAACAAGACAAGGACAGAAAAAACCCCATGGTAGAAGGGCGTCCCTAGGAAGGACCCGTCCAGGAAAACCTATGACCAGAGTGCTCTGTCAGTAGGAGACCCATCCGGTGCTGGAGGTGGTGGGGAAGGCCAGAGGTGACCGTTTTGGTGGGGTGCGGTGACTCACGCCTGGAATCCCAGCACTTTGGGAGGCCGAGGCGAGAGGATTGCCTGAGCCCAGGGGTTCAAGACCAGCTCGGGCAACTTGGCGAGACCTCGTTTCTACAATAAATAAAAAAATTAGCCGGGCGTGGTGGTGCACACCTGTGGTTCCAGTCACTTGGAAGGCTGAGGCGGAAGGATCGCCTGAGCCCAGCATATCGAGGCTGTGGTGGCCATGAGCTGGGTGACAGAGTGAGACTCTGGCTCAAAAAAAAAAAGAAGGAACCATCTTAAATCCAGGTCCAAGCAGATCGCCCCTCCCTCAGGCTGAAGGTACCTTCCGAGAGGGGGATCTCCCATGGAGTCGTGTTCTGAGGGACCAGCTCATCAAAGAAGGCTGAGGAAGCAGAGGCTTCCTCTGGGGTGGGCTTGGAGGCCTGCACAAGGAAGGACAGAGGTGACCGCTTAGGAAATGACCCCGGAGACACACAGCTGGCTCTGGAGTGCTGTCTGAGCACACTACTATTTGTCCCTTAATGGATACAACTCAGAGAATAACCTGGTTTGGGACGGACCCTGATACGAGGGTAAGACACAGCTCCTGTCCCAGCTGGAAGCTCGCGGACCCCGGGTCTCACTCTGGGTCTGCAGGCAAGGCACCCACAGGACACCAAAGCTCAGCATCACCAGGGCAAAGCGGAGGGCGGGAGGGGAGGATGCCCCAAAGGGAGGCTCTGGGGCCCCAGGCCAGGCTGACACGGCTCCCCCACACCTTGGCTACACGAGGCCTGCTGGCTGCTACTGTCAAGGTCACTTCCCTCAGGCTGAGGGCTCTCACCCAGCCCCAAGTCACTCTGCGACCATGTGGCCACCTGCAAGGAGAGACCCCTGAGCTCCACGCTGTCCAGCACCAGCAAACAAGCCCGCCAGTCTCTTCTCGCCTGCACACCCCACCGACTGGACCCTGTGATTTGTGATCTACTTTCTGGAGAAAAAGCCAGGCTCTAGGGATGACATGCTCACACACGCCACCAGCAAGCCCAGGAGGAGGTGTCTGGAGTGGCCTCCGCGACAGGACTGTCTTGCTCTTCTGGTGAACAGCAGCTCACCTTCTTCTGGAGTTCGTCTTGGCTGTATCCGAGCAGCGTGAGAAATTTCACTCTGGAATCTTGCTCCAAGGATACCTGAGAAACCACAGGATGCAGGAACGTCTCCATCACTTGGCCGCGAGTGGCCCTTTTCCAAGCCAGACACCATGCTAGCACATCCTCAAATATGGCTCTCTGTGCCGCCAGAGGCGCCCAGAGGTGCCATGCCACCTTGCCCTTGTCCTCCTGGGTCGGAAGTCCCGGTAGGCTGTGGGCAACGTTACCACAGCCCCTGCCCCTTCTGCCCAAGAAAATCACCATCGGTTGACTTCCTTCTCTGTTACCCTGGTGACCAGGTAAGAGCAGAACATCAGCTGCGATGTGTGACTGGTGAACTGCACCTGGACCGGAACCCTGTGAACTGTGAATCAGCAACTGCCCTGACCGTGGTGACTCCTGCAACTGGTCGTGTCAGTCACAGGGACTCAAGCTACACCTTAGCTGAGAAGAGAGAGTGCCTGGCTACACCTGCCTCGTGTAGCCCCACCTCCTTGCCCCTGAGCTGTCTTCCGGGAGCCCTGAATCACTGTACAGGCTGTGAACAGACTCCCCCAGAAGAGCCACCCGCCACCCAGCTGGGGTCTCCGTCCCATGTCCCTCTGAGGAGGCCAATGTCAAGTGTGGCCTGCCACGGTCTAGTGAGTTTTGCTGAGAAGACCCCGGGTGAAACTCACACGGAGGCAGTACACACAGTCAGCATCGCCCCTCGGCATCCCAAGGCCCAGAGCAAGTCTTCCTGAAGCCCTGACCTGGCGAGCTGGCCTGGGGCCTCCGCTGGTCCTCACCGAGCCTGAATGCTCCTGAATTCTCCCCGGAGGCCTCCGGGTCTCCCTGGGCCCTCCCCCACACAGGACCCTCCCTGGGCCCTCCCCCAGGCACTCTCTTCTCTTGGAGGTGAGCCTCCACGCTCAGCTTCAGGAACCTTCCTGGTGGATGCTCTCGGGTGGCTTGGGAGCCAGACTCCGCTCTGTCCAGCGTGCCACCTCGCCAGGATCAAGGCTGAACTCTGCGCTCCTCCCGCCTCCCACTCCCCGAGCTGGCGGCCTCCCGCTGCGAAGCCTCACTGCCAGTTCTCCTCCTCCCTCACCGTCCTCCAGCTTCCCATGTCCCCAGCTCCCCGACGTCTACCTTCAGGAGGCTTGGAGTCCAGTTTCCCGCAGACTGAGGACAGGCCCATCCTCCTTCCAGCATTCTCCCTGGCGTCCCAGAGGTGTGCGACCCACCCTCCCAAGCCATCAGCACCGTCCTCCCTCCCTCAGCCTCTACCTGCTCCCTCCTCTCAGTCCAGCACCCCAGGGCCACCTGCAACGTGAGAGCCCTGAGCACCAGAATGGAGTGGTCTCTAGGCCCAGGGGCCCTGAGCCCCGGGCGGCCGCGCGGACGTGCCCTGGGCCACCTGACAAACCCCAGGCCTTCTCACAGCAGCGTGTAGTTCCATCCACCCTCCTGCCCTTCCTCGCACCCTCCCTCCCGATCCCTGCCCGCCCTTTGGCCTGGTTCTGTGCCGCTTTTGCCTCTGCCACGAGTCTAGGCTGCCAGCAAGAGCAGCCGCAAAGGCACAAGTCTCCTGGATGCTCTGTCTTCCCTGCCCACCTCTCCAATGGCCTCGGAGCCCCAGGACGGGTGAGGCGTCTGCCTGCGGAGGGTGGGGGTGGGTCTCTGCCATCATGTTGGCCTGAGAGGCGGGAGTGCGGGCTCTGGGAAGCACCCCCGAGTGTCCAGGCCTTCTCCTCAGGCCTCCGCCCTGCAGGAACCCCCGAGCCCCGCCAGCATCCTACCTGCAGGAACTGCCACAGCCTCTGTTCGCTCTGCAGGGAGGCCTGCTGGCTCTTGGCCTGACAGTAATCCGGGAGACCTCCCGAGCCCAGGGCCTCCTGCAGCTTGGCCGCCTGCAGCAGGAGTTCCGCCTCCGTGGTGACTTGACTGACAAACACCAGGCAGGGGCACGGCTGCAGCACCCGGCGGGCGGGGGTGCCGGGGATGCCAGAGGTCACCAGTTTCCCTCCAAACTGGCCGGGGAGAACAAGGAGGGGAAGGTGAGCCCCTTGGGTCAAAACCCAGCACCAAGGCAGGGTCACAGGGAAGCCACCAGCCAGTCCACCAGGACAGAGAGCGTTGAGCATCGAACGCGCCCCCTACAAACCCGCTTCTGTGTCCCCAGCGCCATGGGCTTCAAGCTCCACCACACAGGCCTCCCTTCGGCTCAGCTGCCTGGGTGTCCTCGCCAAGTGCCAAGTCTCACCTCCCCACCCTGGGCCGCTCCTGCAGGCCCCACCCCCAGGTGCCCACACACCTGACCTGGAACCATGGCAGCCTTGCGTCTTCCCGCCTTCCACCCCAGCCTGGGGCGGCCTCGGGCTCACAGACCACGGGAGAGTCTCGGTTCCTCTCCTGCAGTGTGCACCAGTGCCCCACAGAATCAGAACCAAACCCATCTGTGGTCCAGTGGAGGGCAGTGGCACGATCGTGGCTTATCACAGCCTTGACCTCCTGGGCTCAAGCGATCCTCCTGCCTCAGCCTCCCAAGAGCTGGGGTCACAAGTGCTGCCATGCCTGGCTTCACCCCTTCCCTTCCCAGCATCTCCCTCCCTGGCCACTTCCAGGGGGCTCCACAGCCCCGTGCCCAGTGCAATCCTGCTTCTGTGCTTTGACCCGCAACAGCCACCCGGTGGGTCCTTTTCTCCAAACAATTTCATATAAGCACCCGGCACCCCGTGGGAGCTTGGAAAAGCGCCTTGACTCTAGAAGTTCTCGACCCTGGCTGCACACCTGCAGAGCCGTCCCTACTCCCCGCCACGCTCAGACAACAGCGGAGGAAGCACAGGGACTGGCCATCAGCGTCACCTGAGACCCCCCCAGGTTATCTCAGCATGTGGCCAGGGTGGACAGCCTCTACTGCTTCACTCCCAAGTCACCATCCTCTCCCTCAGAGCCACCTCCTGAGGGAGGCTGCCAGGTCTTTCTTTCTCTTGACATCCACGGCACTATGTCCGCACCACTAGACAAACCTACCTGAACTCCAGATCTGCAGAGGGCTGGCTAGTTTTTTTTTTTTTTCTGAGTCAGAGTCTCACTCCATCACCCAGGCTGGAGTGTGTGCTCACAGCCACCCCAGCAACAACCTGCTGGGCTCCGGTGATCCTTCTGCCTCAGCCTTTCAAGCAGCTGGAACTACAGGCGCGTGCTACCACGCCCAGCTCATTTTTTTAAAAAATTCATTGTAGAGACGAGGTCTTGCCAAGGTGTCCAGGCTGGTCTCGAACCTGTGGGCTCAGGCAGTCCACTTGCCTTGGTCTCCCAAAGTGCTAGGATTACAGGCTGAGCCACTGAATCCGGCCTTGGCTAGTTTTACAGTGCCCACATACTTCCCCCTGGCCGAGGGTCACAGCACTTCACAACGTAAGCTAGGCAGGCGCTGCCAAACCTGATTTACAGAGGGCAGTGAAGTCCTGAAAGGCTGGGTGATGGGTGCAGGGTTTCCTGCTGACCAGAGTAGTGATAAGAATCTGGGCCTCCTGGCCCGGCACACTGACTCAAGCCTATAATCCCAGCACTTTGGGAGGCCGAGGCTGGAGGATTGCCTGAGTCCAGGGGTTTAAGACCAGCCTGGGCAACTTGGTGAGACCTGGTCTCTACAATAAATAAATAAAAACTGAGTGTAGTTCCAGCTACTTGGAAGGCTGAGGCGGAAGGATTACCTGAGCCCAGCAGGTCGAGGCAGCAGTGGCCGTGAGCTTGCCACTGCACTCTGGCCTGGGTGACGGAGTGAGACTCCAACTCAAAAAAAAAAAAAAAAAAAAAATCTGGACCTCCTGACCACGGAAGACCTCCCTGCCCTGCCTCTTTTTTACAGTTGGCTGCCTCTTGCGGGTGGTGATCTCTCCTCCCTAACAAAACCGTTGACTTTTAAAGCCAGAGTGCTTGTGTCCACACACCTGATTTCAATATTTAAGGCACAGCCCAAGTCGCTTCAGAGCTTGGCTACTCAAAGGCCCATCCTCACGCCACGAGCACAGCCCTGGGAGCTTGCTGGAAATGCAGAGGCCTGGGCTCTCCCCAGGGGGATGAACCAGAATCTGAATTTGAACAGATCCCCAGTGAGGTGAACACAGTGAAGAGCACTGCTGCTCTGGGGATACAAGAGTGAGCGTGGGTATGGGTCCGCAGGGAGTCTGCTACTCGGTGGGGCCTGCAGACATGTGCGATTGTGTCGCTAAGAAGTCTGTGGGACCCGGGCTCGGCGGCTCAGCCTGTCATCCCACGCCTTTGGGAGGCTGAGGTGAGTGGATT